TGATCATATTTACCAAGGGTGCCGATATTTTTGGCCATGACTGTAAATCAATATTTTACATTAGTGTTCATCTGAGAGTGAAATTATATTGAAAGTATAGCATATATGTAATGATAATGCTAAAACAAACTCAGACCCATTTAAAAAAAATGTGCAAACATTACTTTTATAATTAATTTATTCACTCAAAAACTCCATGTGCTATAAAAGCATTATATTGAAGAGTCTAAAACACACTCATCATGATAAAAGTGAAAGAAAAACTAAATCTTACAATAGCTAGAAAATGAAAGCTCACATGATGAAGCACTAATGCATTTAATATGGCACCAGTAATATGAGCACATGTTAAGGTTGATTTTGTCCACAGGGAAACGAGAGTCACGTCTCAGAAGTCTGGTCAGTCATTACACGAGAAACTGATTAGAGTGCTGTTGCATGAAACGCGTGATACACTTTTAGTGGCTAATGCAATCAGCAGGTAGAAGAGCAGAGCTGGACGGTCTAAGCACAGAAAAGTGATCTCGGATTCATCATTTACACCACACACAATGGCTTGTACAGAAGATCATATCTATCTGTTTGCAACTAAAGCAACAGAGTGCACTGGTTGCTAGAGGAAATTTACACGATAGAATCAGAATATGTATGTTATGCATTTACAGTTTTCTTCATTTGTCTTTCAACTATTTGCTATTTTCACATAACCCATTTGGATTTGCAGGTCATATAAAAACGGTTTCATTTTGAAGAAGCAATAAAATAGTGCAAATAAATATCGTCCTGTAAATTTCACATAGTTATTTAGCACAATTCACTAAAAACATGCTCCATCAATGTTTTATTTATTTAAAAAAAAAAACACAATTTACATCTCATATGGACCAACGGTTACACATTTTGGTTTTCTAAGCACATATTAACATATGTTATTATTTGTGTATTATTATTATTATTATTATTATTATTATTTATTTGCGAATAATCTGATGAAATAGTCAGCATATCAAAAATGTTTTTAACTAGTTTTTAACCGTTTTATTTTGGTGACAGTCTTACTTTGGACAAGCTAGCTTTGACTGTTTCAGTTTTGGTCTAGATATTTAAATGTCATTATGATGGAAAAAAAGTCTAAAACATGGAGCATGAACACGTCCTGTGTGGCTGACATTTAAAATATAAAACTAAGCAATATGGCACTGGCATATCAGAGTCTCGGCATGTTCTCAAAATTACTTTCTCATAGAAAAAAAACAAAAACAACACATACAAAAAAACACCCGATATAAAGAAATAAACACCAATATACCTTGACATAGCACATTACTGCTGACAATACTGTACGATTACCCCACTGGGTCTGTAAAATGTCAACACTGTTTATTTACTTATAAGAATAGATAGAATAGATTTCTTGATACAGATTAAAACCGACGGTTGGATCTTTGAGCATAACATAATATAAAGGCAATTATCTCAGTTCCACAGCCTCATTCTTCAGGTTGCCTAGCAATTTTCTTGATGCCTAGCATCAACCTCCCAATTATCCCATGAATCGGATTCCCTAAATCCATTTAAGGGTCTGCGTCTTGAATAAGAGGAAGTACAGACGATCATTTTCGTGTTAAATATGTAAAATAATACCCTTTTCATTTCATTACCTTACTACTGTCTATAACCACTGAGCTAAATCTTTGTTGAAGGTTTATTACTGGAAAAGAGAGTTGTGAGATATTAAAATGGTTAATTCAACAACACCAAGATGAATTGCTGAGACATCTATGATTTAAGTCAAGATCCTTTGAAAAGATAATGTTATGGTACATTTCAGAGGAAAAAAAAAAAACGATTAGTTCTGAAACTAATTTAAATAATGACAAGGTTCCTGCATGCTGAAATGATTCTGATAAAACCAGATTCTGATGGTAGTTTCTAGATGGTTCATATACTGGGTTAATAAATAAGCTAGGCTGTTAGCCAGTGCTGCTTAGACTGACCTTGAATGTAAACCATTATTTGTAACCTATCTAGGAACCTGGTTGAGCTGGTTAAACAAAGACAAGATGATGTGGTTGGTCATCTAAATCGGTCTTCTTTCATCAGATAGCTTAAAAAACATATGGTAGGAATAATTCTTTCGAGTTGGTTCTTTTTTAATGAATTGGTCAAATCTGTTTAAATGAACTGCTCAAACAAACCAACTTCCTATTACTAAAATGACAGGAAAATGCAATCTTTGCAGATAAGCCTTTCAATATTTTCCTTCTGGGGTTAGTTGTCTATTTTTGTAATTAATGCATGGGCTAATCAGTTTATCTTTCTCACGTTCTTCTGTCTGGGTGAGCGAGTCAGAGTTGTGTCATGGTGTTCAGTGTGTCATCTGAGTAACTAAGTGTCCCTTTAGGGCAGTGTGCGCAAGAGTTCAGCTTCTTCAAGCTCACTGGACTACGCATCCAGTTCTCTCAATGTCCTCATTTTGTTTCCCGACGACGCAACAGATTCACAAAGAATCACTTCACTGTCCTCAGAGAAAGATTTCAATGTGAGGAGGAGAAGGGCATTCTTATTTTCATCAGATGAACAAAACACCTATTTCTGATCACCCACTGATAGAAATGAAAGACAAAGGCATTCAAACCAAGACCAGAGATGATTGAGAAAAAAAATGAAGGAAATATTTTATATACTATTTTAATCTTGTGTCAATCTATGTACTGTAAAACAGTGCTGTCAATTAATCAAACTAATTAATCACAACTACCTCATAATTTTTATATAGTTAATATGTTAATGCATTCAGTTACCTGCTATGGAAATAAAACTAAATAACAGGCCTCTGTGTAATTATTAGGTTCAGTATTTTGTGTAAATAACTTTTATATAGTGTACATTTCTGCAAGTGGTATTAGTCTCAGTGACACACACACACAAACATCTCACACTTGTATCTAAACAGTGAACCTATAATACAAATCAGCAAAAATTCTATAAAACAAGATAAATAAACATTAAAACCAATTGCACAAGTTAGTGTTATATTAGTATTATTTATATCGTATTTATTCATATTTTGAATGAGCTTTTATTTTTATATATACATATTTTTAAGTTTTCATTTAATTTTAGTTTTCATTTTTCATGTGTTTTTGTCATTTCTATTAGTATTTTCATATTTCTATTTAGCTTTAATTAATTTTTTTCAGGTTTAGTGCTAGTAATTTTAACACATCAACTTACAAATAGTTTTAGTTTTAATTAACAATAGCAATGCTGGTGCTATCAGGCTAAGTTTGACGGCACTACTAACAAACAAAAAGTCCTAATAAAGTGTTTTCAGTGACAAATGGAAGAAATCCTGTTTTTTCACTATATAACTCCATTTCAATAATGCAAGGACGATCTATTTGGAGCTTGAAATAAAGCAGTATAATTCAAGGGCATGGTTTTAGTGAAGCATTGCGTAATTTCTGGCCTTGCTGGAGTAATCTGAGGGATTTCTTCTTAGTGAGTATCTGACTGGATTTAATTCCGTCTGACTGCTGCAGACACAAGTATTTAGTGACTGGCAGGAAATTCCAAATGGTGACCATGCAAAGTGGGTTGTTTTTAACCCCTTTGGACTCTGCGTCCATTGAAATGGACATCACATGATGTTTTGTTTAAACCAATAAAATTTTATGTTTTCATAATATGAGCAATGCCTTTTTATGGTAGCCTCATCAACTTGCACCTATTATAAAATTAAGACGATCAAATGATAATATTCAAAGTTATTTTGAAGATCTTTTAGAGTTGCAGAACACAGGATTTAAAAAAAAAAAAAAATTATTGTCCATCACAATGGACATCAGGTCTTGAAAGATATCAGCAGCACCTCATGAATTAGTTGTATAACAGGTTGAGAAATGTGTGGAAGCATTTCAAAGCTAAATACAGAGCTACAAATTCTAATGGTAATGTTTTATGAACATTGATGTTAATTAATGAAATTAATATTGATATGATTTCATTTATGCCATCAAAGTGACCATAGCCTGTCAATCAACTTTTCATTGGTTTTAGTGAGAAACAGCCATAGTGGATGTGACATCAGTGAATACACAGCAACACACACACTCACACCCCCTCCACACACACTGCTGCATGGATGCTATAATGCACACAATCATATATTCATCAAAACAATCAGCAAGTACACATAAACCCATTCACATACACACAAAGACATTTATACATATACTCAGATTCACCCACTTCAACCAACACAAAGGATCAAACAGGTTTTTTTGAGACTTCATATCATCTTACCTTTTTTTCAATTTTTTACTGCATTGTTCATTCTTATAGTATGTGTTCTTTGTTCATTCTTATAGTATGTAGTCTGAACACTAGTTCAACTATAGTGCACAAGCTCTACTTATTATGTATGGTTAAAATATGGGGATTTTTATTTTTCTTCAGTCCTGGTGTCCATTATAGTGGACATGAAAAAAATCTAATAAAAAAGGAGAAGAGCAAATATCAAGTGGATAAAAAAAAACTGTTCAGTGAAAAAAATTCAGGTCTGAAGGGGTTCTAAAACTCAGCGAAGCTACAACCTTCAGATGAAATTAGATGTTTCTGAGACCTACCTGCATGGAAAGTCTGGAAAGTCTCTCTGGTTCAGCAAATTGAAAATAAGGAGAACATTACATGATCTGATTCATGAGCTGGTGCACCTGGTGCACGCAGATTACAAATTACAAAAAGGCACTCAAATCTCACAAGAACATGCAATCAGGCAGGTTGCATTCAACAGCAAAGAAGTGAAATGAGATGCACAATATCATTCAAAAACAAAATGTACACACAGACATGCGTATCAAACCCATGTTGTCTCATTCAAGGAACCTCAACATGGCAATGGCATGCATTTAAAGCACAACAAAGGGTCTGTCAATCAAATAATGTCACAATTCTAGGGTTTAGCAGTGTCTACAAGTTTTGAATGTGCTAAAGTCTTTGACATGGCTGTCTACTTCCATCTAAAAGCACCTATGTCAAAGAGCTACACACAACTCAGCACCCATCAGCTCAGAGGTGGAAATGAGTGATCTACATGGCTACAGAGGTTAGGTTTGTCACATTCACTTTCATTAAATTACACAGCAAGCTCTTACCCCAGTCTACTATTGCTTCAGGAGTCAGTACGCTAGAATACAGCTCTGTGGAGTACGATTGGCAAAACAAACAAGATATTAAAGTACGATAAAAAAATGGAACATATATGCATTGACTTTACTGCTTATAAATATTTAAATGCATTAATAACTTTAAACTATAACTACATATCAATATACTTTACTTTTTTTTTTACTATAGCTTAACTTTGTTACTGTTTGTTTCTTTACGTTTACTGTTCTATACTAAAAATGTTTGGTCATTAAACGTGCAAGGTATAATATTAATTCATTGATTATCACTGGTCTTGTTGGTACAGGTGATGGTCTTTGCCTAGATATCAAACGGTGTGCCAAAGTGTGTTTACAACACTGACATGGTTTCTGATAATTATATGAAAAAAAACAACAACCTTGCTACGTGTACTGCTTTAGGCTAACAGAGACTTGTCATTTGCCCTTATATATTGTTGCTCTTTTGTTAGTTTTGATTGCTTCTATTGTCCTCATTTGTAAGTCACTTTGGATAAAAGCGTCTGCTAAATGACTAAATGTAAATGTAAATATGACTTTTCATTGCCCAACCCTGTCATTAGAGCATGTTACATTGGTGGTATCTGGTGCCAACAGGATGCCTATACTACTCTACTGTACAGTTTTCTTTAGTTAAAGACCAGTCAATTCACTGGTACTACCACTGGAACATATCTGGTCACAAGATTTCAATTATTTAGCTCTGGACAGTCACGTGGAAATGAAATGGGAAGGTCACGTGGTTGTCCAGAGCATTGCACTTGAGAGAGAGAGGGGGAGGAGCTGCATCCAATTCCCTCATTTGTTTACGTGTTTTGACAATAGTTCCTGCCTGGGAAACTTGATCACAAGTCTGGCTTAAGTTCATGCACCTCGTTAGAATGAAGCCTACATTAACTAGAATAGAGAAACATGTACATATGACTCAAGTAGCCTAATATTTATATTAAAAGATTAATATTAGGCTGTTAGCTGTCTAGTTATCTGTTCTAATCTATTTTTCTGGCATGCAAAAATAAAACCAGTATAACATAACGTGCCTCTTCAATGAAGGTCTACTCAAGTTATTTGAGGATACACAAGAAAGTGAAACCATATTTGCAGACGTATTCAAGAACATTTACATGCACGTTTTTTTTAGACTTATATCTATATTGGAGAAGAGCAAATATCAAGTGGATAAAAAAAAACTGTTCAGTGAAAAAAATTCAGGTCTGAAGGGGTTCTAAAACTCAGCGAAGCTACAACCTTCAGATGAAATTAGATGTTTCTGAGACCTACCTGCATGGAAAGTCTCTCGGTCTTCTGTGGTTCAGCAAATTGAAAATAAGGAGAACATTACATGATCTGATTCATGAGCTGGTGCACCATGTCCAAGCAGATTACAAATTACAAAAAGGCACTCAAATCTCACAAGAACATGCAATCAGGCAGGCTGCATTCAACAGCAAAGAAGTGAAATGAGATGCACAATATCATTCAAAAACAAAATGTACACACAGACATGCGTATCAAACCCATGTTGTCTCATTCAAGGAACCTCAACATGGCAATGGCATGCATTTAAAGCACAACAAAGGGTCTGTCAATCAAATAATGTCACAATTCTAGGGTTTAGCAGTGTCTACAAGTTTTGAATGTGCTAAAGTCTTTGACATGGCTGTCTACTTCCATCTAAAAGCACCTATGTCAAAGAGCTACACACAACTCAGCACCCATCAGCTCAGAGGTGGAAATGAGTGATCTACATGGCTACAGAGGTTAGGTTTGTCACATTCACTGTCATTAAATTACACAGCAAGCTCTTACCCCAGTCTACTATTGCTTCAGGAGTCAGTACGCTAGAATACAGCTCTGTGGAGTACGATTGGCAAAACAAACAAGATATTAAAGTACGATAAAAAAATGGAACATATATGCATTGACTTTACTGCTTATAAATATTTAAATGCATTAATAACTTTAAACTATAACTACATATCAATATACTTTACATTTTTTTTTACTATAGCTTAACTTTGTTACTGTTTGTTTCTTTACGTTTACTGTTCTATACTAAAAATGTTTGGTCATTAAACGTGCAAGGTATAATATTAATTCATTGATTATCACTGGTCTTGTTGGTACAGGTGATGGTCTTTGCCTAGATATCAAACGGTGTGCCAAAGTGTGTTTACAACACTGACATGGTTTCTGATAATTATATGAAAAAAAACAACAACCTTGCTACGTGTACTGCTTTAGGCTAACAGAGACTTGTCATTTGCCCTTATATATTGTTGCTCTTTTGTTAGTTTTGATTGCTTCTATTGTCCTCATTTGTAAGTCACTTTGGATAAAAGCGTCTGCTAAATGACTAAATGTAAATGTAAATATGACTTTTCATTGCCCAACCCTGTCATTAGAGCATGTTACATTGGTGGTATCTGGTGCCAACAGGATGCCTATACTACTCTACTGTACAGTTTTCTTTAGTTAAAGACCAGTCAATTCACTGGTACTACCACTGGAACATATCTGGTCACAAGATTTCAATTATTTAGCTCTGGACAGTCACGTGGAAATGAAATGGGAAGGTCACGTGGTTGTCCAGAGCATTGCACTTGAGAGAGAGAGGGGGAGGAGCTGCATCCAATTCCCTCATTTGTTTACGTGTTTTGACAATAGTTCCTGCCTGGGAAACTTGATCACAAGTCTGGCTTAAGTTCATGCACCTCGTTAGAATGAAGCCTACATTAACTAGAATAGAGAAACATGTACATATGACTCAAGTAGCCTAATATTTATATTAAAAGATTAATATTAGGCTGTTAGCTGTCTAGTTATCTGTTCTAATCTATTTTTCTGGCATGCAAAAATAAAACCAGTATAACATAACGTGCCTCTTCAATGAAGGTCTACTCAAGTTATTTGAGGATACACAAGAAAGTGAAACCATATTTGCAGACGTATTCAAGAACATTTACATGCACAAGTATGTTTACAGAATAATAAGACATGAAAGTGTTTGGAAAGTAAGCTCACCCTGTTGTCTGGACTCCATATCAGCGGTACTGTGCAAATGCAGGTCCAGTACATTAACAGCACCTCTCAGTTCAGAGAAATATCCCGTCCAGCGTCCAACACAACCGCTCCACACAAGCGCTCTCTGCTCTCAAAACCCCGCCTATTATCGGGACCGCTTCAGCCACAGACCAATGGGAACAGTTCTAATTAGCATATTCTAATAATACATGTCATGGTAAATGTGTAAGATATAATATATATATATATCTTTGGTCTTTAAGTAGGAACTTACACATATTATTACTAATTAGAACTGTTCCCATTGGTCTTTAATTTTAATATATATATATATCTATGAATATACATAAATGATTAAAGACTACAACGGTTGACCGATTCCTAAAGCGCGTTACTTGCATCTTGGGAGTTGTAGTCCCTATTTGACAAACTGTTATCAACTCTTGAATTTTTTACAGCTTCGAAATCCAAGTTTAACTGTGTTCAATTTATATTGTAAAACAAAACGGTTTAATCAGTTCCTCCAGTCACAGACCTTATTCTCAAAAATCCAAGATATTCTTCAAACCCAAATGAAAATCCAGAGGGAACATAGCATCTATGATTATATATAAATGATTAAAGACTACAACGGTTGACCGATTCCTAAAGCGCGTTACTTGCATCTTGGGAGTTGTAGTCCCTATTTGACAAACTGTTATCAACCCTTGAATTTTTTACAGCTTCGAAATCCAAGTTTAACTGTGTGCAATTTATATTGTAAAACAAAACGGTTTAATCAGTTCCTCCAGTCACAGACCTTATTCTCAAAAATCCCAGATATTCTTCAAACCCAAATGAAAATCCAGAGGGAACATAGCTCGAAAATGACACATTTACCTGAGAGCAGCGAGTTTGCGGTCTGTTAAATTATCGTTGCAGACAACAGCGGCATCTCATGGTGAGACACGGAAAAACAGGCTGACCTGAGAATGCAAGAGATATTTCATATAAATAAAATTATAATTCAATATAAAATATCAAATCATAGAACAGAACAGAAGAGAATACGCCGAAGTATTGGTTTTGGCAAGCTATGTGCGTAGAAGCGTTTAATGATGTGTAACGGGAGCTAATATTTATTGATGTGATTATGGGAGCTTTATGACAATTATGAAACTTCATTATTGCAATAAGGAAGGTTAAAACTGTAATGAGTCAACAGCACGCCAAGCATGGATATACAAACACAGAACAGACGATCCCACACAATAATAGCACAGTTTAACTAAATGGGCGATTATCATTGGCCTATTACCAACCTATGCATATGGGAAGCATAAGGGGCCGTTCACATATCGCGCCTTTTGCGCGCTCAAGATCGTTATTTCAAATGTAGCCGCGCGGCAGGCGCGCTCATAATAGAAGCGACGCGGTCGCGACGCGCACGCGGTGCGACGCGCTCATTTTTTCCAGGCGCTTCCGCGCCGCATCGAGATGAAAACATTTCAACTTTTCAGAATGCCGCAAGCGCACCGCGGGTCATGTGACAAGAACCAACCAATCAGCTTCATCCTTTCCCGTAACAACATTGAAAGCTCAGCCAAGATGAAGGAACAGCTGATCATAGCTGTACAGGGATAGCCATTTTTTAAATAAATTTAGTAGTAGAGCTACTGCAAGCGATTTTTAGTGCTGCAAATCCATTTACACTTTGCTGAAACTTCCGCGTCTTCATGGACAGCGCAGGTCAAGGTTGCTTAGCAACGGCAGACGCCTCCGGAGCGCAAGCGCCCGAACGCTTTGGGAAAAAGCAGAAAGCGGCGCGCCTAGCGTTTTCCACGCGTTTTTAGGCGCGATATGTGAACGGCCCCTAAGGCAGCTCTGTTTTAGAATGTAATCATGTAATTTTGTTTCTTAGTGGCTTTTTGTTTATATGTATGCATATGTTCATACTGAGTTCACTAAACATAGGTATTTAGTTATTATTTATAATGATGGTCACACAAAAATGTCACTCGAGTTAAGTTTATTTAACTCACCTTTTAACCACCAGGTGTCAGACTTGTACAAAATGACCACATAAGAAATTTTAAAAGTAAACTTGTCTATTCGAAAAACGTAATACAATTAATTGTCGCATGTATTTATTAATATATTATTTTTTAACGAACACATAAGCCTGTATATTTTATGTCATCCTCACTACATTTGACTAAAATCCCTGAGCAATAAAGTTGATCAAACTAAATCAAGTCTGGTCACCAAAGAATAATACATTTAGTACGTGGAGAACATATTTATCACAACACAATCATTTCAAACACTTTTAATTTTGTCCAGTAAAAAGCATTGTGTTAAAATATAGCCTAAATCCAGCAGTCACAAGAAACATAAACATCCCCCAAAACATAACTACTACAACATATATTCTAATATTTGATAACGCATTCACATTTGACTTTGCTCATTGAGATATTCATATAGCTTATAGACCTTTCACGACGTTTCATGATATAGCTACATTTACATGTATTCATTTAGCATACACTTTATTCAAAGCTACTATAAATGAGGCATCAATTATAAGTCAATAATATTTGCAGTACCATGTTTCAAGAGTAAGAACAACAACATAGCAATGTGACTCACGCGTTTATTGTATTAAACTGAGAGAGATTGATATTTGTTGTCATTCTTCATTGGCCTGCACTGCTATTAAAGCCTGTTACAGTGGTGGAGCAGCGGGGTAAGCTGGCGTCAACAGGATGTCAGTCAGTCAGCTGACCTCAGGAAGCAGCTCTTCGGCCAGCAAACCCCTAACAAAGTGCTTACACTGGCAGGAAATTGATCTGACTGGAATTGGCATTATCAGAGACTACCAGCAAGGAGGGACAAAGAAGGAAATCTGAGGAAGCCTTGACTCATCATGTGACACACAGGTTGTAATCTCTGCTTGCTGATGTAGGACCACACATGGGGTTCGGATCCTCTGTCCAGATGGTGATCCCCGCCTATGGATAAAAATTATATTCTAATGGAAAATGCAATTGCACATCAATGTCACTATGCAGATAAGGACCCAAATAGCACACTTTCGTCTGCAAGATGTCTGTTAAAGATCGCTTCATCTGGAAAGCTGTGTACAAACATCTGATAAACGTCTGCAAGATGTCAGTTTTAAATACATTCTAAATCATAAACATCTTAAAGGCATTTTCTAAACGTCTACTTGATGTCTGACAGGAAACGTCCTATAGAAGTGTTGCAGATGAGCAAACACTAAAAAAATACATCTTCCAGATGTAAACACGCAAATCACATAGATGTCTCCGAGATGTACTTGTGCTATCAGGGGATGTAGGTTCAAACTTCACAACAGGCAAACCTTGAGTTAAAGGGATAGTTCACCTAAAAAAAAAATCACTGATCATTTACTCACTTTCATGTCGTTCCAAACCGGTATGACTTTCTTTTTGGTCCAATATATGGACAAAAAGACATTTTCCAAAATATCTTCTGTTTTCCACAGAAGAAAGAAAGTCATACAGGTTTGCAATGACATGAAGTCTGTATAATGACATTCACTATATCAAAATGTACTTTCATGTATTTCATTGTAAAAGCTAGTAGCCTGCCACTGGGTGACATTTCTAAACTAGCTAGCGACAGCTGCACCCAGACCACAAAATGAGAGGGACAACAACTCTATGATTGAGAAAAAGAAGACAATAGTTATTTTATTCCAATGTGTGGTCAGACTTGCATATTTTATCTTGCTGCACATGCAAATCACAGCAGTAAGCTTTCATTCAGCAGTGACCACTGTCACCACACTTCCTTGATGTAGATGTAGGTCACACAGTCGCCTACAGCTACAGTACGATTTTGTTAGGTGATAACTTGTCAATTTGTTTTTCTGGTTTTACTGTATTAGCTAAAATAAACTTATTTAGAATTAATCATTGTAGCATGGTAGAAGATTAACTTTTTAAAGTTTGTGGTTGGTGATATAAGATATATGGTAAGATAAGGTATTTTTGAAAGAAGTCTATGCTCAACAAGGCTGCATTTACTTGACCAAAATGCAGTAAAAACAGTAATATTGTGAAATGATTACAATTTAAAATAACTTTTCTATTTTAATACATTTTATAATGTTTTTATTCCTCAGATGTCCTCTCAAGTCTTCAGTGTCACATGATCCTTCAGAAATCATTCTATTATGCTGATTTGGTGCTCAAGAACACTTCTTATTAATGTGCTGCTTAATATTTTGGTAGAAACCAAGATACCTTTTTTTTTAAAAAAGATTCTTTTATGAATAGAAAGTTCAAAAGGACTGCATTTATTTGAAATTAAAACCCTTTGTAACATTACAAATGTCACTTTTGATCAAATTAATACATCCCTGTTGAATAAATGTATTAATTACTTAAAAAAAATTAACTACTGACCCTAATTTTTAAACAGTAGTGCATCTGTAGCACAAATTGTGCATCTTGGGATACATGCTGAAATGTCCCCCTCCCAGATCACTAACCCTAAGTATGAGCAATTATAATAGTGATATTTTACTTAGCAAACACCACTAATTAAAAGCCAAGTGAGACCAAATGTTGGCAGCTTCTTTTAATTCTTAATTAAATATGATAAAGACATATATTTGCTGTCTGCAGGCCTGAATTAACTTTAAATCTGAAAATAAAGTCCAGCAGCAAAAAAAAATACAATGTGCATTTAAAAAAAAAGAGAAAACAAATGTAACACAGGTGTTGTGGAATAGATTCAGACACATACTACAGTATATTTAGGGAATAAAATATTACAGGTCTTTGGAAATCAATCACAGCAGATGTGCTCTCAAAATATACAAAGTTCCTTTGAGTAAAGTTCAATCCCATTGGTAAAAGGCACCGTCTCTAGAGACAAATTAAACAATAAAAACACCACCACCACATTGGCAGGCAAAGCTTTCAGTTTATGTTAGCATGTCAAAAACAGCCCAAGCTAACATTCTGACCGATTTCTGTTGTGTCTTCCTTAATATAAGTACAGATAATTCAGTTATCTGCACTGGAGTGATAAAGCAGTGTGTAGCAGATGTGACGAAATTCTCCCTGAGAATAACACTGGCATTCACTACCGGCCTGAGTGCATCTTCATAATTGATTGTCTCCAAAAATCCAATCGATAACCACTTTGAAATGATACCTGGCAACCACTTATAATCAGTTAAATTAGGTGGTATTACATTGATGATTCTGTGTAGGGTATTTCCCAAACGAGTATTAGACCAAATATTTCCAAGCCTTGATACTCATATTCCTGATACTCCAGCCAGACCACGTTGCTATGGTTATAACCTTTCCTACAATGCTTTTCCCTGTGCATTCTTTCTGGCTTTCCTCCAGACCAGCCTTAGTTTGAGTATTAAATGGCTAGCTCCAATCAATACATGCGACAGATGTTGGACTTGAAGCTTTAGGGGTTGCCATTTGTTTCAATTTCTTTGCATGTACCCTAATATACATCTAATGGTCAAGGTTATAAAATTGTTGACATGCTACAGTATTCGGTTTTTGTAACAGCTTGAGATTGAAATAAACCCAACATGCAGCAATGGATTACAGTGGATGTGAATCTATAACACTGTGCAAAATACAGCAGGGACGCCTATTGAGCTGATAGTCTTGAACACTGTGCCGCTCAGTGGCTACGTCTCAGTGTGCAAAGCTAAAATATACTAGACATGAATGTCAAAGTTTCCATATTATGGACTTTCAATTTGAATTAACGTATCTAAGAATAATATACACTCAAGTAGAAAATGTTATGCATCTAGCAGTTTGTTCAAAGTGTAAGGCATGCACTACGCTTCCATATGGGGTTTGAAAGTCGGAGACCACACTGCAAGTCTGGGATTCAAAATCAACATTATGACTTTAAATCGAAATATTCTCACCAATTCTTCATTTCTAGGTTACACATTTCTGATATTAATCATGTGAACTCCTGCAGATGGTGAGATGTTCTTTGGATCATTCTCAAATCATTTTGGATAACATGATCAGGATTCAGACAAACAATTTTTTCTTTGTAAATCACATGCACAGATGAATCGCTCTCAATAAGATATTGAATATGCATGAAGAAAGTAAATAGGGTGAATTTTGATTTCATGTTGACTTGAAAACAAACCTTGAATTTCTTTGCAATGTTTAATATACATATATGTGTGTGTTTATAGAGTAACATTTTTATGTTATATATTAACATTAAAAAATCAAGTTAGGAAATCCTATTTTTTTCATTACAAATAATATTATCAGCATAACAATTGCAGTGAACTAATTCAAATTTAAATATTAAATTTGAGAATTTCAATTCATGTAAAGTTGAAAGAATTTCAATTCATGCATTCAATTCAAGTTTTCATTTCATTTAATTTGTTTTCACTCTAATTATTATGCTGATAATAAAATAATAATAAATAATAAAAACATTTTAGATTTTTCCAACTTAATTTTTAATAATTTTTTAAAAATGATGTATTATAAAAATATCAATTTCTTGGAAGTAGACAGTTGAATGATAGAGATAAATGATACCCAACATCCTAAATCAGCCATATTTCCTTTCCACAGTTTTGAAATAAATTGCAAATTGCTGCATTTCACCATTGTATCACAACCACATTTATGTTTTCATTATAGAACTGAGAAAGGTGCTTAATTGTCATGGAAATAATGTTAACATTATAATATACAGTATATATATATAATCTTTTACTCTTTTGAATTTGGGATAAAATATAATCCAGACACGTTCCTGACAGGCTTTGTGAGATTCATGAAGTGTTACACAATCCTTACCTATGACCAAAGCCAGAGCTCCAACAACCACCACGAGGACAATGACCACTGGAGCCACCAGCACTTTACTCACTGTGAAACGAGCAACAAAAAAGAGTTCAGGCTTACAAAAACAAACACATTTAGAATCCTTATCTACTGCTGGACTAAGAGAAGATGGAGTGCATTTGTCTTTCTCAACAAGTCAGTCGGTTAAAGTGAACCCTGTGACCTGTATACCAAACACTTGTGTCTGTGATGTATTGATGGTTGGGTATTATACTACAGTTCGTTGCACTAGCCTGAGGACACCCAACAAACACTGGCTCATGTAAAGTATACACAGATATGCAAACTAAAAGCAGATCATCATGGAGTCGGTCATATCTCTGTGCTATTACTAACTGGCGTTATCAGGGAGTTGTAAACTAGCTAGCATGGTCTGAAATAGTGTAAACTGTTCTTTAAGGTGCTCTATTTGTGTCAAGACAATTTGTTTTTGTGATAAAACCTAGGAATGAACTCTGTACTTTGTCTGCGTAAAAAGAAGTGCAAGGGTTGTACAGCTATATACAAACAAAAAAATATACATATTTAACTTTACAGTTATATACGAAATTGTACATATACACACAACAGTGTGTTTATTTACACATGTTTATTGGTGAGCTTGCAATCTAAATGAAGTCAATATAATAAAGAGATGATACATAAATAATCAGGGTATCTTCCGATCATTCGTTTTTTAATTTAATATTGAAATCTGAAAAATAACACTTCGAACAATAAGCCAGTGTCATCAGTGTAAGAAATTAACTTTCCCATACGGGACAACTGATTTTCAGCTTTTTATTTATTTATTATTATTATTATTTTTTTTATATCAAATAAATTAGAATAATATGACAATAGGCTGTTACCAATTAAATCAGTATTCAGTGATATAGAACCTGCGTCTGAAGATGCTTTTAGATGTATTTACAGTTTAATGCTGATCAGACGGCTGTACGTGCATATACACAGCAATTACAAATGTATAATGAAATTAGATTAATGTTTTATACAACATTTTTAATCCAGAAATATGAATAAAATGAAATGATACTTGAATTATGAAAGTAATTTGTCTAAAACTACCTATGTTCACATAAATTAATAATGGTCTGCGCTTGTCTACAATACATTCTTCCCACGCAGCAGTGCATCGCGCAGCTTTGCCACACAGATTTGAATAGGTTGTTAGCTATAATAATTCAGGCGGTGTGCCAAAGATGTAGGCTAGTAGGTAGTTGTGGGACTCTTATTATGTTTTTTTAGGACTATTAAATGTATGGTTGACCAATCAGCGGAGAGGGGCGTTTCATTCACATGTAGAGATCGAATATTCAAGTTGTTTATTCGTTTTCTATCCCTGAACGTAAAAATGAAGCCAAATTCTTGATTTTTCGTTTTGTTTGAACAAATGAAAAACGAAAAATGTGCCGTTTTTTCATTTTTCAGATTTCAATATTAAATTAAAAAACGAATGATCGGAAGATACCCTGATTATAAATAATACAACTTTGGCCATGTTTGACTCAGAATTATCAGAAAACTGTTTTTTTTCCTATGCATTCTTTTAAAGCAAATAAAAAAATGACAGTTTGTAAAGTTTGTGAGACTTAAATCTGTCTTCATTGTTGGCTATTGTTTTGTACAGTTTAATAATTATCATTTATAAATGTGACTGGGTTCAAGGAAAAAAAAAATCCAGTAGGAAACACTGATACAGTATATACAGTAAAATACTTGTATATTGGAAACAAGCAGGTTATGAAAGCACCTAAAAGCACATTATGATAACAAATGGACAAGAAAACTCAAGATAAGCCAATGTTATGTTTCCAAGGTAACCCCAAATATTCCAAAAGAACTTAAATAAATCAAGTTGTGTTCTCTGCTTATGCACACTCACTACAAACAGAGCCTCGGACCAGCCGGCGCAGATGGGGTTTCTCAGGCAGGTAGCGGTACTTGCATCCAAACACACTCAGGTTGGAGGTGTGGTCCCCAAAGAAGCGCAGATGCCTGTACTTCTCCCCGCAACGATAACAAAAGTTAGTTTTGCACTGTGTGCAGGTCATGTGATCGCAGCCCTCCGTTCTCTGAATGTGGATCTGTTGGTATGGAGAAGAAATCATTTGGCAATGAGTAATCAATTCACAATGATGCACCATCCAGCCATTTATTTTTTTCACTTGTTTTTAAAATTTCTAGTCAGATCTGTGAGCTAGTGGGGCAGATTTTCTTGAATCTGGGCCAGTGACTGACATGTTCAATTAGTGAAAGCTTAGAGCTCACAAAATGATAATTTACAATGATTACACTGCGATTATTCCAACAAACAATGCACTTCTCAGTATTATGGGTTGAGAAACTCGTTCAGATAGGGAAGGTTCTCAATGGGAAGATCTTAGCTAAGCCTTCAGGTATCTGGCTCAGGTATGCGCACTATGCCAAACACTTGTGTTACGATGGGTCCTCCAAAGCATCATGAATGCACATGTCTGGATGGAAAACAGCAACGCCTTGTAGAACTCGTTGATCTCTTGAAATTGTTTCAGTGAAGAGAAAATGATCTTGAGTGAACTTTCATTCAGGATCACTTTGCCCAGACCCCAGTATTATGACGTCTTATGACTGGAATGCCATTTTTCCCAAGACCGTAATTAAAGTTAGACAGGAGGAAAGGAAAAGAAAACAGACAATAAACACAATCCTTCCTCACTATCTCAGACGGGAACATTCAGTTTTTACAATGACTGACTCTGAACTACGTAACTCCTATTCATTTTAAATGGGCCGTATTTTACATAGCTAACATAAAAAAACTGTATTCAAGTTGTATAAATAAACATTAGTTAACGTATTAAATTAACATGAATTGATGAAATATATAATATATAACTTATGTTAACAAATTAAACTTTATTGTAAACTATTACCAAGACTACATACAAATGACCTGCATTACCATTCAAACATTTGGGGTTAGTAAGAATTATTTCTTTATTTATTTTTAAGGAAATTAATACTTTAATTCAGCAAGGATGCATTCAATTGATCAAAAGTGACAGTAAGGACATTTATAATGTTACAAAATATTTAGATTTCAAATAAATGCTGTTCTTTTGAACTTTTTATTCATCAAATAATCCAGAAAAAAATTGTATCATGGTTTCCACAAAATTATTAAATAAATAGGATGCTTATATGTAAATGTAGGAGGGCATATGTTAATATACTCATGGTTGTGATGTCAATACCATACCAAATGTGGTATTATGAACATTGGTGTACAGTAGTACTGTAGTAACTCTTCCATGTCAAAAAATGAACAAAAATCCAGTTTTCAGTATATGTACAGAGCATTTTAGTAGAGCATGTTCATTACCTTGCAGCGTGGACACTTCTGAGCGTTCCTCTGGCCATATTCGATGACGCTGGCCCAGTGACGCAACAGTTTGTCTCCTTTCCTGTAGTCTCGACACTTCAGGCCTTCATGCCAGGGCGCGTGGCATTTGAAACACCAGACAAACTGGCACTTTGTGCACTGAATCTGTGGGGAACATTTGAAGAGACAGACAGACAGTTTGCTTACTCAAGAAAGCCTTTTGGCAAAGAAAGTCACTCTGATTCAGAGTTTAGACAAATAATTCCACATTATAATGTTGTTAACTACAGAATAGACAACATGCGAAAAACCAGACCTTATACTTATGTTCACTCTTGGTGGACGTCTTCATTTTGTAGTCATTCACACTGAAAATTCCAACAAGTGCAATTAAAAAATACACGGATGATGCACTTATTTATCTGCAAAAAAAGTGTGGAATGTCTGACACTTCATGCACTCAACTGTTGCAGCTTTCCTTACATAATCTATAGAGAGGGTAGACACTCTGATGGTGGACGACAAAAACTTTTAAACCTCATGCACTAGATGGCTGAGTACATAGTGCATAGTATAAAGTGCATAATGTATAGTATATCACTAAGTTGGGAGTGACACAGCTTTAGCTGATTTAACTTCTGCTGGAACAGGCTTGTACTAGTTTGGGGACGCTGCTTGGGTCAATTTTAACTGATGCACCTGACTAATGCAAAAGATGGTCTTGGTAAACAGCCCTAACAATGCTCATGTTGAGAGAAGGGCTCTCGTGGCTGATTGTGTGGCATCTTGTGATCGCAGCAGGTGAGATTCTGAGAGCCCGGTGTGCTTGGAGTTTACTTTGCGATCCTAATGAGATCTGACACTCCCATGAGAGCCCTTACCTGAGTACGTGACACCAACTTGTGACAGCAGTGCTAGCACTCCCCCAGGGCCACCCACCGGCCCTTTTTACACCTGTCAGCCTGCTGCTAATGGGCCGACCGCACAGCTAGCACAATAACGGCACTCAGCACCCACTGCAGTCTGATTTTCAGCCCGCCATATCACACGCTGGCATCCTGTATTCACTCTGACATGTTTTCTTATTGACCAGCACCACCTCTTGAGGTGGGCTATCTTCTCAGGGAGATATCTTTTTGATGGATGTGAAATCAAGTGCAGAATTTGCTCTTTGAGGCCGGCCACATGCCTGTTAAGACTAAAGCAGATCTATTACAGTAAACACTCAGTCAACAGTAAGACAGCAACCAAATTGCTGTGGGAAAAGTGCATGTCTAAACACTTTCAGTATAGCATCCATAAAAAAAGTAATCAAACATTTTTTATTTTCTCAGCAGATTTCCTGCATCACCTCATCGGAGTACTGCATGCATATTTTAATCTAAGGCCTCATACATCTCAATTACAGTAGGTTGTAGGCAATATTCAGCCTAGCAGAAACAACTATACATTCATACATTTAAATGGACCGGTTATTCTGCAAACCTACAAAAGGTCAGTGAAACCAACCAACAAATCTTTACCAAACCTTCACACAATCTGATACCTATCAAATCTACTGAGGCATATACTGTACATCAAAGCAAAAATTCAAAAGCAGACATTTCCAATTTTTTTTAGGTATTACTCTGGTACTGTGACTTTTAATTGCTGCTTTTACAATGCCATAGCAGACATACCTGTAAATGTTCCTGTCAACAGAGTAAAACAAGAGTCTTTTACCAAATCCTTTGGTAAAATACTAAATGCTGTGCTCCAAAACTTGGGTTCATGTTTATGAAATAGACAGGTTTATGAAAACCAACTGTCACTGCTTTAGCCATTTTCTGTCATTTAAAGTTTTTGACTATCCAAAAAAAAAAAAAAAAAACCCTGTGCATCAGGGATATTGGGCCACATTCAGAATTTAGGAATTGTGCCACTTTAAGTTTATTAGTTGGAATTCATATACTTTCAACAGTCACACAAAAGATATTTCATTACTCCAACTAAAGAAACATATTTTGCAACCACAGATTTCATGCATTCACACAGATTGCATGCTTGGGTTCAAAAACAGCTGGACTGGGCACAACAAAATGGAATGGAATGCAAGGAT